AGTAGTCGAGATTCATGATTTCACTTAACTATCGTCTAATTAATTTCTCAACGCACAAATTAACAAATTACTCATATAGTTTGTTAGATCTGATTTTCCTATTTTAACTAATTACATTCCTCGAGCAAAATTGCATTAATCTTTGTAAAAATAGTTCAATGGATCACCTAAAATTAAGAGTATATCTATATCTCTTAGAAGAATCAAAGATATTTATTACTATGTTTAAAATGTACCATATTCTCTCAAAGATTACACAAATCAGCACATTCATTTATTTGTCAAATAAATGAATATTATGAAATACAATAATAAATATACATAAAAATAAGTATTTAGACATTAAAGAGCAAATATTGAAATTAATAAAGTTAGATTAAACTACATCAATCATTTCAACGTAAAGAACTTAACTCATTTTATATAAATGATAAAAAGGAGAAGATTTACAGAAATACATAAAAAATTGGAGAAAATAATGGATGTAATACAAGACTAAAAATGAAACCCGTCTTTTGTTAGATTCTTGAAGGTTGCAATGGCTTGATCTTGATTTTTCTCCAAAATTTCTCCATTTTTCTCCTCCTTTGTGCTCTGGTTCTTCCCCATTTGCTCTCCAAAATTTATGTAAAATAAAGGATGGATGAAGAATGAGACTAATGACTGAAATTTTGCTATTTAAATGACCGAAAACAAGCCCTAAAAGTCCAAAAAAATCCCCCAGACATATCAAAAATTGCAAAAACGAAAGCAGGAAATTTTATCCCCGAATACACAATGCGTGCGCTTGGGTACCCTGAAGACACACGGGAACCTTTGCCGCCTCTGTTTTGCAGCTTAAGTCCTCCGAAAATTGCATGTCAGGTCCCTTCAACTTTGATCTTGTACATTTTGGTTCTCGAATTTTTTACTTCTATTTCAATCATGCCCTTTATAATTTGCACCCAAGGTCATTCATCTTTCAGCTCTTCTCCACTTCAGTCCCCAACTTCATGTTTTTGTGCACTTCTAGACTCGTTCAATTTTAGTGCATTTAAGTTTATTAAAACATAAAATCTACTGAGGCTCATCCTACTTAAAAAGGGCCATCCTACTTTTTAAAATACATTGGAATTAAAATAAAATAAAATAATTAAAAAATGATGTGGTTATAAACCAGTTTTCTTATAATTAGGACATTAAGTCCAAGATAAAAGATAAGTTACAAGTCTAGGAAAAAAAGACATGGGCCAAGAGAAATTTAATTTCAATATGGGAAAGAAGTTTGAAGGGTCTCTCGAGTTGAAGACCGAAAATTTCAAAAGGTCAAAGTTTTTTTATCGAATCAAACTGAAGTAAGTTCAAATTCATGTCTCCAAGTTTAAAACTCAAGTCCTAAAGATTCAAGCTAAGCCCTAAAAATTCAAGCCAAATTTAAATCACTAAAATTCAAGAAAATCAAAGTTGCAACGAACTTTGAAGTCCAAGATTCAAGTCACGTGATCCCTCTTCTTCCATTTTTCAAATCGTTAATTGGAGGGTTGTGGAATTTTACAATCACATAGGATCTACCTACCTTGTATTTCACAAAAAAAAAAAAAATTCAACATTTTTTGTATTTTAAACCCGAAATTTATTATAAGGAAGTCTTTGAAATGTGCAGGGGCGAGTAGGCAAGGCTGGGGAAGATGAATTTTTTTATTAAATGATAAGTTTATTCTTTAGGATTTTTTAAGGGGAACCGTTAGTAGGAACTTCATTAGCCTAAAATCGAAGGTTGGAGAAGTGCGAAAGGAGTTCAAATTAAGATTAGGGCTAAAAAAGTTCATTTATTTATTAAGCCCTTGTTTGAGCCCTTTTTAGGAGAAAAACGCATTTTTGAATAGTGAATTTTCGAGTATGTGTGATTAAAAATGAAGAAAAAAATTTCGAGTTACGTGTAATATTTTTTTATTGGAGAACGTAGGGTTGAAATGAGTTTTGAAAAAATAAGGAGCTGTTCTCTTTTTGTTTCAATTTTTTGTTTTGAATTTTGTATTTTGAGTGTCCATTTTGTGATTGTTGAAAATGTGTTATTTTTGTCATTTTGAAAAATTATTTTCAAAAATCAAAAATTGAAAAACACATTCTCTTTCTTCCCCTCTCTCCGTCGTCTCTCCCTCTTCTTCCCCTCCTTTCAATATACGAGCAGCGAGCGGTGGTGTGTGGTGGTTTTGGTGCGTGGTGTGCGATGGTGGTTAGTTGTGGCTGCAATCGCCGATGGCTTCGTCTCTCACTCTCACTCTCTTTTTTTTTTTAATTGTGACGGTGGTGTGTGGTGGTTTTGGGTGCGTGATGTGCAACAGTGGTTGGTTGTGGCAGTGATCGCCGCGCGACTTCGTCTCTCTTTTTTATTTTTACTGTGGCGGTAGTGTTTGGGTGCGTGGCGTGGCGGTGGTTTTTCTTCTGTTGTTTGATTGTGGCGGTGGCTGTCGATCGCGACGTCGCCGACGGTGGTTTTGACGGTGCGGCAACGGCAGTGGTGTGGTGCAGGCGGCAATGACGATGATTTTTGTTGGGGGCGTAAATGAAAGCACCCAAAACGACATTTTTGACGTTTTCGATTTTCTTTGTAAATTTTAAACACGTTTTTAGAAATTCGTTTTTGAAAATAGGTAAGTAAACATATTTTCACTGTTTTGGAAAAATTAAAACAGAAAATGGGATGAAAACGATAAAGAGAATAGTCCCTAAGTTTTTGATAAAATGGAGCTCAAACAAAGACTAAGTTACATGTTCTACGCTTGAAAAAAATAAGGTCACATAATTAGTGTTTACGCATGAAGACCGGAAAAAAGTCATGAAAGATTTTTTAACTCTTAGGCTACAAACTTTTGAAGAAAAAAAATAAATTTTATTAAAAAGAAAAAGACAAACAACAAGGGATACAAAGTACGTAAACATGATATGTTGTCAATGAAGCGTTTAATCTGAACACATAAATCTTTGACTGTAAATTTTTTTACTTTTCCTCCAAGAGTTACATATTTCATCACTTAACTGAACACATAAATCTTTGAGTGTAAATTACATATATGCGAATCCTAATTACACCTTGCAATTAAAAAAATCAATTTATAGTTAAAATTGTTATTTATAAATCATGTGTGATGAAATGCGTAACAAACTTGAGTGATGAAACATTTAACTCTTGGAGGAAAAGTAAAAAAATTTACAGTCAAAGATTTATTTATTTTTTAATGTCAAATTGGAGAGTTTCTTGATTACAATATTTGATAAATAGAATTTCATAATATTGAACAAGACAGTTAGAGCCTATTTGGTACACATTATTTTTTTCATTCTCGTTCTTCTACTCATTTTTAACCACACATTCTTCAATAAAATAATATTTTCCATCACATCAATAATTTTTCCTTCATTTTTAACCACGCATTCTCCATCAATCTACTATTCAATAATACATTCTTTCAAAAGAATGTGTCACAAACACACTCTTAATAAATTTTGTGATATGTCACCAAAGACTTAATATGTAGAATTTTAATGAATGAATCACAAAGAAACTTAATTGAAAAAAATATATATATTTGTCTTGATAATACCACAATGAACCATATCATCTCATATGTCAACTCGTTATAAAGAGAGCCATAGGCGAACCAAGGGGGGGTCCGGGGGGCAAGTCCCCCCACCCCCCAAACTTTTGAGTTTTTTTTTTTAAATCGTGTTTGTTATTGATTGAAATCTAAATTTTAATCTAAATCAAAGTTAACAATTAATTTTAATAACATATTTCATGGAATCCATAATTGTTTAACTTTTATCAAAATTTACTAAAATTTTGATTTTAATCTCCACCAAACGGACAAAATCACCATAAATTTAAATTTCGATAATATGCTAATTTTAAAAATTCTCCGACGATCGTACGCTAATCGAATCTACAAATTACTTATGTCACCTCAAAACTTATTTCGAGAATTACATTATGGGTATATCGAATAGTCCAAACAGATATCGAAAATAGTTAAAAATACGATAAACGTGAGTCTTAAAAAAAGATGTCTAACTCGTATTTTTTTTTAAAAATTCAATTATTTCATTAACATTTATTATTTTTGCGATACAAATTTTTCAATGTAATTTTCATCATTTTATTAGGAAATTTTATATGGAATATGTCATCAAAAATTTTCGAAATTTTATATCTTAAAAAGTCATATCTCATGTAAATTTTCGGGTGTAAAATTATATGGGGTATGATTTTTTTGGATGTAAATTTTCGATTGTAAAATTTCTTCCAATTTCTTTGAATGTTCGATTGTGCCCCCCCTAACTTTTAAACTCTGCGTCCGCCCCTGAAGAGAGCATATAGGGTTCCTTTATATATTACATTTTACTTTAATATGATGCATTTTTACATACAAATTCATATCATTTCTACAACCAAAAGCTTCGTAATATATCAATCGACCAAGATCCATTAAACTATGCAAATTTTTTAGCTACGAACATTTTTCATTTGATCGGAACCATATTCTCCAAAAATGGATGGTTTAATTTCTAGGTGGCAGGACAAAAAAAAAAAATTGTAATCCATCGACGAATTCAATATTTGTGTTATTTCTTTTAAAAAGATCATTAAAAAATTCTTCAATGAAATTCATATAAAACAGAATTATTTACAGATCATGATATAAGCTATTTTAGCAAGCAGTAAATCAAGCCAAACAATCCAAGGCATTGCTAGTATTACATAATTTGGGTTACATAAGGGTATCCAACCCCTCACATAGGGGTGGGACCCACTTAAAGAAAATATTTTTTATTCATATGGGTCTCACCCCATGTGAGGGGATGGATACGCTTATGTAACCTAAATTATGTATAACTAGAAATATTCATCCATAATAATCTTACAATTCATGCATGAATGTAAATTTGGGGGGGGGGGGGGGGGG